GATGCAAAATATTTTACTCCTTTTTCTTTTTGGAGTTTTTTTTATTTAGATGCATTATTTCTTTGCCTGTTTTGGTTCCTGATAGAAGTTACATTTGATATTGATGCAAATGGAATATTAAATGTAACAGCAGAAGATAAAACTACAAGAAAGAAGAATAAAATTACTATTACAAATGATAAAGGCAGATTAAGTAAAGAAGAGATTGATAAAATGATAAGAGAAGCAGAGAAATATAAAGCAGAAGATGATGAGAATAAAGCAAGAATAGAAACAAAGAATCAAATAGAAAATATGTGTTATTCAATGAAGAATAGGATTAAAGAAATGGGAGATAAAATAAGTTCAGAAGATAAAAAGAAAGCAGAAGAAATAATAGAAAAGAATTTAAGATGGATTGATAATAATCAAAATGGAAGTAAAGAAGAATATGAGAAGAAAAAAGAAGAAATAGAAAAAGAAATAGGAAGAATTTATTCAAAAATATATCAAGGAAGAGGAAGTAATGAATTTACAGGAGGAAGAAATACAGAAAAAGAAAATAATAATAAAGGACCAACAATTGAAGAAGTTGATTAAATAAACAAGCAAAAGAGAATATGTAAAAATTAATAAAAAAATAATTTAATAAATTAATTAAAAAATGGTTAATATAATAATAAAAAATTGAAATAAAAATAATAAAAGTAAATAAAATTTTAAATAAATATATAAACTAAGAAAAATAATAATTAAATTGTTATTATAAAATATTTGTATTCATATTAATAATGTATTTTATAATTTAATTTAATTAATTGATTAAATTTATTATTATTAATTTATTAAATTTTCATTCTTTTATAAGAATATTAATCATTTAATACTATTATATTAATCTAATAAATATATTTATATTCATATATAAATTGATTATTAATAACATAATATCTAATTTATATGATTATTATATTAAATAATTTGTTAATAATATTATAAATATAATAAATTTAAATTTATTTAAATATAATAATAAAGAATTTTATTATTAATTGAAAATATTAAATGAAAATCAAATTTATTAACAAAATTAATTATATAATAAATTTAGTAAAAGTATTTCATTTATATAATATTAAATTAATGAATAAAAAATAGAATAAGAATTAAATATTAAATATTTTAGAAGTATTAATTAAATTTATTTAATAATTTAATTTTTTTCATTGTAATATTAAAAATAATTTATAAAATTATCTTTTTATTGTTTATTTTATTTAAAATATTATATATTTTTATTTTTGATAGATTTTGATTTATTTTTATTGATTTTTAGATATATCAAAATATTCTTTTTTTTATTTAATAATCAATTATATACAATGAATGATTTATTAAAATTTATTTATTAATTATTGTATTGTTATTTAATAATTTTATTTTATATAATAATATTTAATATATTATTCATTTTGACACTTTTTGAATTGAATAAATAAGAGAATTTAGAAAATATAAAATTTAAGAATAATTAATTTTAAATATAATAAGTTAATCAATAATGAATTTTGTATTATATTTTTATTATATTTTTTAATTTTCTTTATAAAATATTATATTTATTTAATTATTCATTTTGTATGTTTATAATTTTCTAAATATTAATATTATTAATATATTTGTATTGAATTTAAAATTAAATAATTTAATTTTATTTCATTAGAAAAAGTATTTATTTTTATTATATATTATCATCAAATAATTTAGAAAAAGTATATTAATATTGTTTATGAAATATTAAATTATTATCTAAAATTAAATTATGATTTATATTTATGAATTGAATGTTTATTAAAAAGTAATAATAATATATAAACATTAAGATAAAAAAATAGAGATATAATTATATTAAATAAAAATTAAAAGTAGTTATAAAATTGTATGATTAATTGAAAGTATTAATTTTAGATAATCAAAAATAATTAATATAGTTAATTGAATCTATTTAATATAAATAATAATTAAATAAATATTTTATTCTAAAATGTTAATAATAAATAAGAAATAATAGTATTATTTGTAATTATATAGTATCATTTGTTTTATATATCGATATTTTATTATATTAAATTATATAATATTAATTATTAGTGATATTATCAATTTATAACAATAAGATGAAGTATAATATTGAAAAATATATTAATTAATTTATTTATCTATAATGATTAATTTTATAATTATAATTTCTTTTATCATTAATTAGTTCATAATAATTTTTAATTTAATTAGTTTATATATAATTATAATTATTATATTTTGATTTAATATGATAATCAATTTTTAGATTGTACTTTATATTTAATAATAATAATTAATAAAATAAAAAAAAAGAAAAGTGGTCCCGGCGGGGATCGAACCCGCGACCCTCGCATTTCTCTTTTCTATAAGTACGATGCACTACCGACTGTGCTACGGGGCCTTCTTATTTTTTATTATTATTTATTATTATTATTATTATAACTATCATACTTTTCTTTATTTTATTTATTTATTTTAATTTCTAATAATTTATTCTTAAAATTATTCTTGTTCTTATTACCTTTTTCTTTATATTTTATTCTTTTATTTATTATTTACTCTTTATTATTTTTATTATTATTTCTTTGTTTTTTTTTCAATTTTATGATATTTCTTATCTTTTATATCTTTCTTTATATCATTTATTCATTATTTATTTCT